GGAGAGACATCTCACACCAAACAACACCAGCACACTGACCTAATGCAATAACACGATGGGCTTCGGTCATTTGTTTACTCACTTCTCGTGTCGGGCTTTGAAGCTTGGCAACAACTTGGCCAGGAGGAAAAATCAGAAAAACAGCTTATGCAGCTACCAACAACATAAAACAAAAAATACCAATCTTGCTATTTTGGTTTCCGTCGCTTCAATTTTACATCAGGGCCTGCAAAAACTTTATTCTTAATAAGACCTTGCAGCGACTAAGAAGCGCGGTGTTCAATGTTTTGCCTGTTTAAAAGCAGAATTGACTTTCTGCGAAGGGTAAGGAAAAGGGCCTCAAATTAAAGTAGTTTCCGGATCAGACAATGTTACCCAATTGTGAACACAGCTAGGAGTGGAAACATGTTGTTATTGTTAGTGTCTACAGTGCCTGCTGCCTGCTGGTGTGATCACCTGGCTATATCTGTAGTATTTATCAACAATTTATAAGTAGTAATGTACAGCTGGCTAGCATCTTGCCCTGTGCTTTATCAAAAGAGACTTTCGGTCCTTCAGCAAAAATGTTCGTAATATAAGAACCCATGTGCGATAGTCTGTCTGGCGCTGTAAAAAGGGGCCCTTTGTGGGGGCGGAAGCAGCTGGCATTTTATTTTGGCTCGAGGTGTTGCCTTCCCCTTTGACCGCGACGTTTGATATGCAGAGTGAAAATAATGGCCTGAAGGAAATGGTGGAAGCAAGTAAACAATTGGTTCAAGTATTTACCTTTGTAGTACCTATGCTTTGTTTGCACTGTTGACCAACATATCCAGAAATCAGACATTTCTTATTCATTGCGTATCTGAGAGGGGAGAAAAGACCATCTGATTTTGGTGACGCCTAAGACCTGTTACTCATGCGTTATCAGCTGCAAACTTTTTCTGACCCCTGACCTCTGTGCTTCTCAGTGGGTTTGCAGAACGTTGATTCTCGAGACCCTCTGACCTTTCTCTTGCATTGACCGCTGGAGGCTAAACTTTCAAATTTCAAAGTGGCCTTGCATTTGTTTTTACAAGCTTGGGAGTTCTAAAGTAATTTCTGTATATTCTTAATAAATGCCAACCAAACCAACAAATACTATTATAAACCACAGAACATTGCCGGTATTAACCCGTCTCATTGCATTTCGGAGGGTGACTTTTGTTTTTGATCATAAATATTGGTGTTTTTCATCCAATTTGGCCTCAAGACGCTTATTGTTATTCCTCCACACTAGGCCTCTGAAACAGTAGTACAATTGGATGATCGGCGCCACTTGCCATTGAGTTTATTTCAACAGTGACACACCCATTGATTTTCGGGTGCGCTACACACACACACACACAAACAGCACACACAAACACACACACACACGCAACACACACACACACTCGTGGCTGTATGATACAATATCAGACATTCTCACAGCGTGCGAGGTCTGTGGCCCCGTCGAGAAAAGGAAAACCTCACACTTCTCGCAGTAAATGCCCCTCCATTATGGCTGTCATGTCAGGTTATATTTGGGCCTTACCACATTTGATGATTCATTACCACAATAATGGCAGGCGACTGATTAGCGATTTTTCTTTTCAGAGAGGCCGATGGACAAATGTTGAACCAGATGAAGAGGAGATTGAACCGACATAGAGGACGATGTCTTCAGAAATGGAACAACCCAGCATCCAGACTATGAGCAACCAGGGAGAGGCCCCTGAGGAGAGGCCCCTGAGGAAGAGGCCCCTGAGGGAGAAGTCGCCCTGAATATTTATTTTTCTCTAATGTTCATTGAGGGAAAAACCACTGAACAGTATCAGTGTCTTATGTTATATTCATCACAGTGAATGCAGGAATGTTGAACTTATGGGCCCACCGGTTGGGTACCGGACCCATATAGCTGTATAGTTTGAAAGTGACCAATGAAACAATGACTGCTTGTATCAAATCAATACATCCCATACAGTCATTGGACGGAAAGGGATCTCAGCTACACAACTAAAGCATTTCCATCTCCAGCAAAACACCAGGCCTACATGGCAAGCATCTCTATCATATAAGGTAATGTACAGTCAGCACTATCTTGTGGACTTACTCATAATTATACTGGAAATTCACTCGGGGTTGGTGCTGTACCCCTTGATTATACTTGCTTGGACGGTTCAAATGAGATGTTCAACCATCAAAAATGGGATAAGGGGCTCCAGAGATATGACTGTGCAAAACACACCGGTCAATTTTGACCGAAAATAGTATGGGAAGGGGGGTATGACCTAACGCAAGAGAAGGGTTGAACCCATGTTTGGGGCCCTATGACCTTTACTGTGGCACTATATAGCATTGATGGATGTGATGTTCATTGTAAGCAAAT